TGAACAGTTTTTTTTTAACCCAAGTCCTCTATTACCTGGAGGCATGAAGACTACCAAGGCATGGGAACATGCCACAGTGTCCTGACTGGGAGCAATATCATTGCTTCCTCATTTATTGCTGGATCAAATCCCCAATAGTACTGTGGCTGTACTTACACCCATATGGGCTGCAGTGATTCCAAAAGGCAGCTCACCCTTGCCTTGTGGGACAGTTAGGGATGAGCAATAAATGCTGTGCTAGCCAGTGACACTTCTTTCCCATGAAAGAATAAAAATAAATTTACAGGTGCTGATTTTAAACTTGCTGAAGTCTTGCATATAGATGCATTTCTTATCGATTGTAAGTATCTTGAATACTTATCACTTCACCTTTTTACGCCATTTTTTGTCGTCGACAAAGGAGTGCTGAAGGTCAAGCTTGTAACAGCCCATGAAAGATGTTCCTTCCCCTGGAACCTACCTTTCTGAGACGCTGATCGTGTTTGCATTGCCGAGTGTGGGTATCCTCCTGCTAAGGGCCAGAAACCCAAACTGGTTTAAACTGAACAGGACGTCATGGCTGTGGGGCCCAAAGCAATTCAGCTTCTGGAGAACTTTGGCGCAATCCATCTGCCATTCTGTCCACACCCTTTTTTTTTTAAAACCCTTCAAAATGCAGCACCATATTTCAGGAGGGAGAGAGGGCAAGCAGGAAATGTTTGAGGACCTAGAGTGTTGGGTGTTTAATAAAGCTAGAGTCTGTGGGTATTTTTTTACCCCCAAATTTGTTTTGCTCATAAATGAGCAGCAGGAGGTAAAGCAAAAGAGCATGGTGGCTCAGTGGTTAGCACTGCTACTTCACAGCACCAGCAACCTGGGTTCAATTCCACTCGAGGGTGCCTGTCTGTGTGGAGTTTGCACATTCTCTCCCTGTCTGCGTGGGTTTCCTCTGGGTGTACCAGTTTGCTCCCGCAGTCCAAAGATGTGCAGGTCAGGTGAATTGGCAATGCTAAATTGCCCATGGTGTTCAGGGATGTGAAGATTAGGTGGGTTACAGGGGGCTGGGTCTGGGTGGGATGACCTAAGGTTCGGTGTGGACTTGTTGGGCCGAAGGGCATGTTTTCACACTGCAGGGATTCTGAGTCCAGCATCCTAGCCTAAAAGGAAGCAACACTGTTGCTAGCATTTTGTGGAAAGGCTTGCTAATAGAACTGTGAGCAAATTCTTGCTCATAGTTTAGATGCAACAAAACGCTGTGAGTGACCATCACATTCTGCAAGCAGCATCCACGGACTGTTTTCTTATTTCTTGAGCATAACTAACTGCTAAAGAATTGTTAGTTTAAAACCTCCTTTCTCCAAGTTGCTGTTCGTACTGTTAGAGTAATGCTTTGTGTACATGCACTGCTGACCTCAACTCCCCCTGCTTTAGCTTCGATCCTTGCTGCTCTCTCCATCTGGGATTTTATTGCTAAGTGTGTGCATAAACTGCATTCCTGAAGCTGACCTCTGCACAGCAGCGTCTCCAGCACAAACTTGGTGTGACACAATACAGTACAGCAATAATACACTCGGACAGTTACACTGCACTGAAAGAAAATTTTTCTTTGCTACGCTTCAGTTTTCTCTGGCTTTCTGCTCCAGGCAACAATTTTTTTGCTTCTGTTTGCAACTTGCAAACGTTATCAGTTGCCTCTATCTGAGTGGTCATCCTTACTGTTTTGATATTAGTTGAGTGTGCATCAGAGCTGACTATAGGCCCAGTTCTGTTTGATTCATGTGGCACTTGTGCATGTGTAGTTGTCTAGAAAAGGAGTGTTGGGGAGGTCCGGTCAATCAGAAACCAGACAGCTGAGTAAGCATCTCTCTTCCCATCCTCCTATTTCCAGTTCTTGTGCAAAGTTTGAGACCAAGTTCAACAATAGAGATCAAACCTTGTCACCATTCTCCAGCCATTTGGCTGGGTAGAATAAAAAGCATTCGGGAACTGGGGCAAGGGGAAAGAACTCTGTTCTCAAATTTTACCCACTTAAAGTAATTGAATACATTGATTACGTTTAAACTGATTTAACCAAATCTGATGTCCAGTTTTTGAGGCAACTAAGATTTGAATGTAGCTACGTGTATAGACTCTCCTTAAAAGGAGAATAGTCACGACCCATCGTGTAATTTATTCTGTCCGTGTTAGCCTTTATTTTCATACCCTCCTGTTGTGGAATACTGAGGAGCTGGGGTTTGGAAATTGCACTCTAAATCGGCTGTACTTCTATAACTTTCAGCTCCATAAATCATAATTTGATGCTCTTCCATCTCAAGTCTGTGTTGTTTTTTTTCTCTCCAGATTCCCATGTCTCACTCCAATTTCCTGTGCTCCACTATTGACCATTGTTCCTCCAGAAGCCATAATCCCAAAATCTTTAATTCCCTGCCTCCAATCCCTCCGTGTCTCCATTTTTTTTTAGGAGTTTCCTTCGAGTCTAATACTTGAACAGTGTCCTAACGTTGTTGTTCTTCACTCATTAACAGTTTTTGTCTGGTTTCTCCTCCCTCAAGAGCTTTAGAATGCTTTTCTGCATTGATTCTGTTGTTGTCTTATTGTTTTAAGCAAAATGTGAATCGTTTTTGAAATTATTTTGGACTTTTCATTACTGGTCCATTCACCAACCTGCAAGTATTCAGGTTAAATTGACTAGCTGCTCTTTTTCACTATAGTTTTTAAAAATGTTGCCTTCTGCCAATCACCTTGAAACAGTTTTAATTATTTGCCAGCGGAATTGGTTCTTTCCTACCAAGCAGAGTAGGGATGTCTGTCGGTGAGACTGGGATTTGGTGCAGGATCGTGACGGGCAAGGCAAGCGATGCCCCTTTTTCCACAGCAGTTAGTTGCCATGTTCTGTGATTTCAAGGGCCCGGTATCACAAGCAGCCACTTTTTGACAGCTCCTCCTGAAAGGGTGAGTCCATGTGCTGTGAGGTTGGGTGCCAAGTGGGTTGTTGGCAATTGGCAGGGTAGAGAGGAGAATGTTTGGATCCCGGGTGGTGAGAAGGAGGGGGTAGAGAGAGGTCTAGGAGAGCTGTAGTTAAGGGGTTCTTGAGGTAATTTGGAAGGTCAGTTTGGCTGCTCCTCGGAGTTAGACTGTGTATTTAATTATCTGACTTTTTTTCCTGGATAACTATGTATATTTTAAACTTCTGTGGAACCCTCTCAATTCTCTGATTTAAATGGATAATTTTGGAGGGTACCATGTGTGGGGGAGTGGCCTGTTTTAGTTTGCTCTAGCAGGGATTCTACACTGCAGCCATGTGTAGCTCCCATCCGATTTTCTGGCCTATGGATAATTGGTGCTATTATTTTTGTGTTTCAGAACTGGCAGTCTGTGATAAATCTCTCCATGCTCTTTAGCCCAGTCCTAGTTTGTTGAACGTTGCCATTAATGGTGAATGCTGAAACTAATGGCAGGCTTGGGTTTTGGTAAGACATTTGGTGAAATGGCCACGTCCACCTTTGTGCAAATTCAGTGATTTGCATTTTGAGAGATACGTACATGTTCGGGTTTTTTTTTCTCTTTACTTTCCCACACTGTGGCTTTTGTCAGCGAGATTGGCAAGAATCCTGATCACACGAGAGTCAAAGGAAATGATATGGTTGCTAAGTTCTAAACTTACACTCAGAGTAACGACACAACGTTAATCTCATCTCCTCTCCCCGCCCGCCGCGCCCCCTGCAGTGAAAGCAAATAATCGGGAATTGCTCAACCATTGGCACTTTTCAGACTGGAATAAGGTTAATATCAGTGGACTGTTCAGTTAAGTTTTTCAATGGAAGTGGTTGAAGACAAGTTGCTGTGACACTTGAACCTACACACTGGCCTATTTACACTGCCACCACCTTGAGTTGGACATTGATTTTATTCTGACTCCAATCGAGGATTTTGGTGGGATAACTTTTTTTTTGTTTTTGAATTCTCCGTGTATGAATGTCCAAGGAATGTAATGGGTTTTGAACAAATGCTTGTTTGCGCTCTTAGCTGGTGTGCAAGAGACAAAAATAGAGATTGCTTAAAAATAGTGTCATCGTTTGGGTTGATGTCATACCAGGAAAGATGGTGGGAGTGGGACTGCATCAGTAGAACTTGAGGTTGTTTGCGAGATCCTAGAATGTGCTGTTCTCATGTAACAGGCATATTGTTTTGTGTAAGATAGCCTTATGTCCTCGCAGTGATGTAATATGTGTTACTTCAACCATAGTGGCTGTGGTTTAAGACAGTTGGAGGCTAATTGTTTTTGGGATATCATTATTTAGTTGGCGATTAGATTGACATTATTTTTTCTAACAAAGACAAAAATTGCTGGAAAAACACAGCAGGTCTGGCAGCATCTGTGGAGAGAAGGCTGAGTTAACGTTTCGGGTCCAGTGACCCTCCTTTTTAGAACTTCTTATAAAATTTATTGAGGGTTCTGAAGTTGATCAGTAAGTATTCACGAGCAGGGTGTAGATTTAAGAGAATTGGTTTCTGGGTGAGGCAAGTAGCTATGAGGAGGTATTGGAGAAGTTGGAGCTCCCTTTTCTTTTCCAGGGGAAAAAAAAACTAAAAGGAGATCTGATAGAGGTATTCAAATTCATGAGATGCCGACAGTAGATGGGGGACAGACTCATCCTGATGAATGGATTGAGAATGAAAGGGCACAGACTCCAAGTAATTGACAAAATAAGTAAAAGCAATACAAGGACAAACCTTTTCACACAGCGTGCAGTTAAGGTGTAGAGGGCACTGAGAGGCATAATACACAATGAAATATTTACTTGGACAGCGAGTGCAGATACTGCTTTCCTTCACAGTGTAACAATTCCATGATTTTTTTTTTTTTTTTTTTGTTGCATTCCCCACAGGACAGTCGTCTGTCAGCAGTTATGGAGACTAAGCAAGATATTGTTGTCAAGTTCCCATACACTGCAAGAGTACAAAGAATTGGTTCTGATGTTTAAGCACTTATTGAATGTTTGTCTTTTTCTTCCCTGCAGTTTTAAATCCATACCTTGAGATTGGATTATATAGCTGGCAAAGAAAATGGACACCGTAACACACATTGCCAAGGATGAACTGGAAGAGCTCCACGAGGCTTTTAAAAAAGTTGGTGAGTAGTCCTTGAATGTTTGCTACTTCCTGACTAACTCTTCAAAGCACAGTGCCTGGTGAGCTACATAAACATAGCTATTTGCTGAGCAGTGTCTACCTGTGGTACCATCAAGTGGTTAGAAACAACCTCTCCTAATCACTTGATGTCTCTAGGATTTTGATGAAGTCTAATGGTGGGCCAGTGGAAATTTTACTGGTCTAACTGCTTGAACCCTGAAGACCAACCCTTTATTCCACTCTGTCACATAATAAACTATCAACATAAACGGTGTTCTCAAATGCTGCCTATTGATGGAATTATTTTGTCTCACTCTCTTGGTTTGCATGCCCGTTGCCAACCCAACTAAATCAAACCTATTTTGTTGGGATGTGCCTCATCGGCGTAATAATAAATGAAGTTGCTGTGACCTTATCGTTCCGTACGGCTACTTGTTGTTCAAGCTAGTATATATCATTAAAATTGGTGCACCAGATTAATTTACTGGGAGTATAGTTGGTGCACTATGGCAATCCCCTTTGCAAACATTGGACTTAAAAGCACAAGTAAGCAATTCAGTCATTTACTAAAATTTATGGCTGCTCTAGTTGTGGTTTAAGCTCCAATTTCCTGTTGGCATCCCATAACCCTTAACTTTGGCATTGATCAGAAATCAATCTAATCCTGAAAACCTCAAATGCTGAGGATCACAGCGGGTCAGGCAGCATCCATGGAAAGAGAGCAAGCTAACATTTCGAGTCCAGATCACACTCCATCTATCTAATTCTGCCTTGAATTAATTCAATGACCCAGCCTCCCCTGATTTCTGTGCAAGACAATTCCACACTAAAAGCCCTCTGAGAAAGTAAAACCACAAACCCTAAACTGAGTCCTTGGGAACAACTCCTCCCTGACAAGAGGGACTTTGTTCTATTTTCTTATCAAGTCTGCTCAAGTTTATTTGTTTCAATAAGATTTCTTCACTTCTAAATTCCAACAGGTATAGGCCCAACCTACCAAGCCCCTTTTTATTCCAGGATTGAGTTGAGTGAGCCTTCTACAAAGGACTTCTGAAGTAATTATATACATTTCAGATAAGGAAACCAACCTGTGCATAGTATTCCAGATATGGACTTGCCAAAGCCTAATACAGCATAATAAAACCTCTCTACTTTTATATTCCAGTCACCTAGCAAAATCGACAAGTTCACATTAAAGTCCATCTACCACATTTTTTTGCTGATTTTTGCTTAGCCTATCTTTATCCCTTTTGCAGACACTACACTAACTCTAAGCGACTTGTTTTCCTACTGAACTTGGTGCCATCAGCAAATCTAACAACCTTACATTTTGACCCTTCATTCGGACATTGATATAGCTTGCAAATCGTTACAATCCAGCAATAATCCCTGTGGCGCTCCACAAGTTACAGCTTGCCAATGTGAAAAAGACCCACTTATCCTTGTTTGCTAATCAACCACTTATCCAAGTTTTACCCTTGGAACATGAGCTCTTATTTTGAGCAGTAACTTTGATACCTTACCAAATACCTTCTGGAAATCCCACTATGCAGAATACACATATTCCCCTTCTTATCTACCTTTTTTCACTTTTCACTTCACTTCCTCAAAAGATTCGAAATAGATTAGTTAAACACCATTTTTTTCTGTTAAACAAAAGCATGTTGAATCTTTTTTGTCTCTTCCCTCCCCCAACCCCAACCCAGTGTCCTGCTATAACCTTCTTGATAATTGACTCTAACTATTTCCCTATGACTAATGTTAGACCAACTGGTCTACAGTTTCCTTCTTCCTCCTAGAATTCATAGAATCCCCATAGTGTGGAAACGGGCCATTTGGCCCAAGAAGTCCACATTGACCCTCAAAAGAGCATCCTACCTGGACCCAATCCCCTAGCCTATCCCTGTATTTCCTGTGGCTAATGCACCTGACCTACACATCCCTGAACACTATGGGCAATGTAGCACGGCCAATCCACCTGACTTGGCACATCTTTGGACTTGGGAGGAAACCGGAGCACCTGAAGGAAACCCACGCAGACAGGGGGAGAAAGTGCAAACTCCACGCAGTCACCCGAGGGTGGGACTGAACCAGGCTCCCTGGCACTGAGGCAGTAGTGCTAACCATTGAGCTACCGTGTTGTTGCTGATTCTCTCCTTTGCCTAATGAAAGTGTTTCATTTGCTGGGGGTCGGTTATCCCAGTTGGCTGGATAGCTGGTCTGCAGTGCAGAGTGACATCGACAGCACTGGTTCACTTCCCAAAATAACTGGCTCATCATGAAGGCCCTGCCTCTCCAGTATGTCCTTCATCCGCGGTATGGTGACCCTCAGCTTAAACCCACCACCAGTCATCTCTCTCACTTGGAGAGAGCATCACTCTGGCCCTTATGGTGATTTTACTTACTTTTTGTTATTTTCCAAACCAGCCTTTCGGAACCCAAGAAATTTGAGGATTTTAACTGATGTTTTGACTATCTGTGCCACTGTCACTGTTTGTTTATTTTAAGACAAAAGCAAGCGGGCTGGTCTTGGGAACTTGTCAGCCTTTAAGTCCAGTAGTTTGCTTGATGATGGTGACTGCTCAAAGTTCTCCCTAGCTTTCAGTGCTTGCTTTTCAATTGTAGGATGACTTCTTATGAATAGGCGGGTAGACATTAAACCTGCACAATTTGTGTGTTGTGATTTAGGGTCTTATTTTGTACTGGTCAGCCATTGTTAACTTGGAAGAAGGACTCAAGAATACACTTTGTTAATACTGACCTATAACAAATACACTAGTTTGTTTCTAATTCAACTGCACACGTTTTTAGGTTGTGGCATAAAAAGGCTTGCTGTTCTCCTCTCGATGAATAAAAGTAGGTAGGAGCTTCCTGAAAAATTGGTCTCTCTCACTCCACCCTGAAGTGTTTTTTTTTCTGTCAGTATGAGTTTAAGGTTAAACTTGCGTCATTCATAACATAACTGACATTGAGCTTTTAAGACCAAAGGAAGCCATTAATTGAATGGTCTTAATGTCGCTTAAAAGGATAGCAAATTTCTAAATGCCTGATTTCAGAGTTTAAATGTGGACCTCTGTTTTTCTGATCTCAATTTATGGTTTGTACTTGAGTACATATCTTGTGCCACCTTCACTTTGTTTCTTGAAACCTCAGTGATGAATACAGAGATGCAACACTTTAGCTGTCCATTTCAGCTGAATGCTGTTTTGAATTCTGAAAGCTTGATGAAATGAAGCAAACGTTTTCTTTGACAGTTAGAAGTGCATAGACAGGAAGAAAACAATGGTTAAATGCTGCATTTATAGGCGCATGTGCTGAATGTGTTTCACATCACTGTCAGATGTACTTTTCGTTTATTGGTACAAAACATACGTGCAGACAGACAAAGCTTGTAATTGCAACCTTATAACACTTTTTTCTATGATTTGTTTTGACCTTAAGTGATGGCCAGGGAGGCGCAATCTGTTAGACACACTTGAAAATTGGAATTGAGCCGATTTTGGCCTTCTCAAATTGGCAAGTATTGCATGTCATTGCTGTGTTTTATTTCTAATTATGAAACTTTTTTGTTTATCTGTACAGATCTCAACAGCAATGGCTACATTAATGACTCTGAGCTCCATGATCTTTTCCGTGAAGCCAATGTTTCATTGCCTGGCTTCAAAATACGAGAAATCGTTGAAAACCTCATGATCGAGGGGGACAAAAACAAAGACCGCAGGATCAGCTTTGATGAGTTTGTTTCAGTAAGTGTCCCTGTGCTATAACCTCATTCTACGTAGAAATTCATTGTAGACCAGAACTTAGTATGGCTGTCGGTGCCACAATCCTTATTTACTGTGTTCTCCTTGTTAGACATCAATGAATCCAACAGTGACTGACCCCACAGCACCTATAAAACAAGTGCAGAGCTAAGATTCCATTCTTAACGACCTAGCAACCATTAATTGCTCTTGCTTGGAATTCTGTTTTGGAATGCTTGTGCCCGGCTGCAGAGCAATGCAGTTCCATCTGGTTATCTTTTGAGTACAAGTGTGGGATGCTTGTTCATATGGTTTATTCAGTCAGCATCACGTGCTGTCAATAAGCTAGTGACCCCAGTAAATGAAAACAATTTTGCATTCCTTTCCTTTTTTTTTAATGAATCCAACAGCAACATTTGAACATTAAATGCGCAGTAATTGAAGCTGAAAAATTGAATTAAGAAAAGCTTGAAAAATCATGGAATATTAAACTGTGGACCTGTATTACTCAATATATTATTTTTTTTAAGTGGGTTTTGTACTTTACATGATCTCTTCACATTTCCTTTTACACTGGTCATTTTTATTAAACCCTCCTTTTTTTGTTTTGGTTTCTGGTTGCATGATAAGTCTTTTATTTTCTTTTTATCAGCAATTTTTGCGTGTTTGTGGTTCATGATTGGTCTGTTTTAAGCAGTACTTGCACGACTTGCATCTAGTTCCAACATGTCTATGGAATGTGTGGATTGTACTGGGCTGTGGGGCAAAGTGTTTATCAGATCATTTTGTTTGAGTGCTGAGGAACTCGCCTCTTGTTTTCCTTCGCGAATGTTGTTATTCTTTTTTTAGTTCCTCCTGCCTGGTGGGAAGGTAGTTAAAATCTCACTCCAACTAGTAAGTTGTCCATAATGATTTAATACACATCTGTTGGGGGCATTGTCACCTCTCGGATAGTGCTGTTTACAGATCCCGAATTTCCATTGCTAAGGTCAAAACTTTGTGTCCGGCCCAAATTCACTCTCACTCACAATCCGAATGTGCTGGGGCTGCTAATCCCACCCCAAGAGGCAAAAGCTTCAAGGAAGGAGATGTTGGAATCGGGTCTGGGAGAGAAGGCTGGTCTGCTTTGTTGGAGTCTCCAGGAGGGGACTGGAAGGAGCGGTGCTCAGCTGTTGAGCTGAGGCTCCCCTGTTCCTCCTGGTTCCACATTCAAATTAATGACCACAGTCTCCATTGGTCTATGGAATCTTAGCACAGACTGTGCAGAGCCATGCTTTTGGCATGCTTTAAGACCAAGAAAATAAGCCCCTTTCCCAAAGGGGCCTGAAATGTAGACAAATATCGGGTTATCTTGAGCAATTCAACGCACTGGACTTTTTTAGTTTCTGCTTTTCTATCCAAAATTCAGAAGCTGTTCAGTCCAACTTAGAGACTGAAGTGTTTTTGCATAAGCAGTTTGTGCTGAGTAAGACGCAAAAGCGTGTTTGGAAACTCTGACTAAAGAAAATTAGAGTCATGAAATGGATAAAGCAAAATAATGGTGAATCAGCTCAGTGCATTCACGCTAGTGCTTGTTAAAGCAAGCCAGCTATCCCGCTCCCAAAACTTTTTTGCCTTGTGGCTTTGCAGATGTTATCTGAGCTGATAGTTAACCAATTCTTTTCAGAAGGGCTTTGAATCATCTTCCTTTGTACTCTTGGGCAGTGTATTCCAGATCCTAACCAACTGCTCTATAAGAATATATTGTACAGACATCTTAGCCAATGTCTGATGTACATTCAGGTTTTGTAGATGCTTAATTGTGTTGCAAAAGCATTACGTGCGTGTTCAGTGACTCTTGGGATGGGAAGGTTGGTCCGTTGACCTCCTGAGGAAAGGTTGAACAGTTTGGGCCTCAACACTGGAGTTTGAAGAATGGAAGGTGATCTAACTGGAGCATGTAAAGTCCTGAGGAACCTTGGTAAGCTGGATGATCAGCCGTAATCGTGTTAAATGACGAAACAGGCTCGAAGGGCTGAATTGCCTACTGTTGCTCTTAATTCCTCTGTTCATGTGTTCAATGATGAAAAGATCAGCCATCATGGAGGGACTAGAACTAGACGGGACAGTTTAAAAATAGGTTGTCTGTTTAGGACACGGGAAGAGAAGTCTTTTCTCAGAGTGGCATGTCTTTGGAACTCTCTTCCCCAAAACACCAGTGGCAGCAGTAACTTGCAATATTTCTAAATCTAAGTTGTTTTTTTTATTATATATACTCTGGACAAACATGTTGGTTGAAGCCAATTGATGGTATGTTGGAATGTGGTGTTCCGGTCACAAACAGATCAGCCATTTCTTGTTGTGTGACTTTGGGGGGTAGGGGAAGGGATGCTGCAGAATAACACACATTCCTGTTGCTAGATTGTACGTCTTCTGAAATAGTTTAACTTGTTTGTCGAATTTTCCCCTGTTGCTGGGCTTGTGATCGTGTAGGAGGTTTCCCTGTATGATGACTATGTTGTTGTTGTTGTTGTTGTTGTTGTTGTTGTTTCCCACCAGGACCTTTCAAGGTTAAAGGGATTCTCAAGCCAGCAACAATTGTTTTGATATTAACTCTGCCCTTGAGTTCTCTTTTATTTAAGCCCAGAATACCCCATGAATTGTTTCTCAAGATACTTAAAAAGCTGGGGAACCCTCTCATTGTTTTCTGCACAGTCAGTATGCACTTCTTTTCTCTGAAGACTTAAATGAGTTCTAAACTGATAGTACTTGCTGCACGTTTTCACAATATTTTCAATTTCTGTGTAACTGTAAAATAAGATCTGATGGCATGAAGCTGTACCAGTTTTCAAATGTGTAACTTCAGTGCTGTCAAAGCTTGGGAGGGATCCTGTAACTTTTTTTCTTTCTCTTTAATGTCTTAGGGCATGCTTCTAACTGAAAGCCAATCAGGGCCACTGAAGATATTTATGCTTACAGCATAAAAATATATGTCAGTCATTCCCACATATCCTGGTTCACGTGCCAACATCAGCAATTTACAAATGGAGGAAACTCTGCAATTTCCTTTCGGTGTGACTGTGGGAGGAAATTGGGGCACCATTTGCTGACACTCAATGTCTTTTTAAAGTAGAGTTTCTTTCTTGTTCTTGCTGACGAAATGATGAGTCTTAGATGGCTAGAGAACAAATTTAGTTTGAGCGGTTTCAATCCAGTTTCTCGAGCATTGATTTGTTGAAAAATACAGCATATGTAATTTGACACTAAGTTGGCAAAAGAGACAGTTGAACTAGAGATCAGAAGTGAAATTTCTACAGTAAAGCATACACCTCAAACCATACATGTTGTTAGAGTAAAGTAACAGGAATTTGGTCCTTCACCTAACTATACTTGGCAATGACTGAGGGATAGAAGAGGGAAAGATATTCTATCTCTCAAGATGTCCATGCAATGTAGTCTTTCATGCTGCGTACTCCTGGTTAGCCCTTCCTATGGCAGATCTCAAGCTGGCTCATCAGAAAATAACATTGTGGTTACACTACTTTAGTGAACTTTCTTAGGAAACTTTTTTTGATATTTGCATTTCAGCAAAACTTTCGGGCAGTCACTGTGGGTAATTCCTTTCTCCCCTGACTCTGTTATACATTGGATGAAAATCGAAGAGCATCTAACAAAAGTATGCTTAAAAATATTCAGTGACTTAGTCCAGAAAAGCTGAAATGATAATTGCTCACATTAGATACCAACAATTCTAACGGCCTTTCATTTAGGCCATAAATTTGAAAAAAAATGTTGCCACGGATATGATCACAGTGGACTGCTCCAGTGTGAGCCACTGGAAGTGTGCAGAACTACAAAGTAGAAATGATCTCATCAACTACCAAAATGAAATTCCTGTGCCAGTAGTCAATATGCTAAATCTGTGTTCATTAAAACAAGTTAATTCCATTAGGCAGTTAGTGAGGGGTGAGCTGGAAAAAGTTGATGGCTTCCATCAGAGCATAACCCCTCGCTTTCCCATGTTGAACAAATCTACCAGTTTTCGGCCATTTGCTTAACCTGTCAATGTCCCTTTGCAACTTTTCCCTTCATGTTTACATTGCTTATTCTGCCTCCCATTTTGATGTGATAGATCTCTTTGTTCCTTCATTTAAGTCATTGATAAACGTGGAACTCTGTTACATACCCTTTGTGGACACCACTAGTTAGATCCTACAGATCAGCGTCTGAATGGGAGAGAGATAACAGCAGTGTAACTGTAGAAGATGGCAGCTCATGTAGGTGTGCAAGATCATGTGGGACTTGAAAGATGACTGACCCACGAAAATACACAATTGGATAACAACTGAAAACGAGAATTTTATCCAGACCTTGACAACAGGGTGTTTGCCTTGTTTGCTCATTGCATAGGTGCATGCCTTGTTGCAGTTTGTATTTTATCGGAAGGAAGGTGGGTATGCCCAGCATTACCCGATCACAAATACATTTTATAAACCACTCTGATTTTTGTTTTGGGGTCAGTCATGAGTACCGAATTCATTCCTTGCATAAATTCCCAGTTGAGATTAGTAGTCGAAGCAGAACACCACCATCCTTTTAAAATAGTATGATAAGTCCAGTACCTGTCAAGAGTAGGTATTGAGGGAGGGGTGCTGTGATTTTGGAGTGTTAGAAAAGTGTGTCAAGTGAGTAACCGTACACCTGAGTCTTGATTTGCAGCAGGACTTAATAGAATGGGATGAAGAAATATTGAGCTGGAGGCTAACCAGTGGTTGAGAGTGTGAATTTATATTTGCTTCCTAATCCAAAAAGATATGCTCTACAATGAACAGGACCATTGAAGGAGAGGATATCCCACTGGGATTACTGAAGGATCAAGAAACTGAGACCCATCCAGTATTGTGTTTTTGTTCTAAATTTAATTGGAGTTTTCTGAAATTTTTGGATTTTGGGAAAATTGCACTCAACATCACATTAATATCTAAACTTTATTTCACTATTCATGTGAGTTATCATTCTCTGCTTGTAACAGATTTAATAAGGACGTGGATGCTATTGCAGGTACTGAAATGACATTGATGTGGTGGTGTGCACAAATTCAAAATACAGCTCGCCTTTAATTTCAGCACAAAGCTTTCTTTGTCAAGTCTTGTATGTACACAGGCTGTTTAATGTGCACGAATGCATCTGTTAATGCATCGGACCTGGATGAAGTCACACAAACTGCCAATTCTAATGCATTATGTAAATGTCAGTCCACTCATGTTTCTTATACTGAAGTTAAGATGTTTTCAGTTGTGTGATATTTATGTACAATGCTTCCAACCTGTTTTTGTCCTACTGTTTTACACACATGCTAGAGATTTAGACGCACAGTTGAATTATCATAGCCACAAAAATGTTTAAGGGTTTTGTCACTTGAGATATGCATGCCTTGCTAGTCATTTGAGACAGTCAGTGGCAGAGCTATTTTACTAACAAGTTGATTAATAGTTGAGTAAATGTAGAAGACTTTGGTATCCAGTTCAGAGGTTTGATGACGAAAGCAAATTAAAATAATGGGCACTGAATTGTTTTGCCTATCACTTTAAGTTAAACGTAGGTCAGCTGAGTAGGGTGACAATACCCTGACATTGAAACTTGATTATTACATAGTGACATTAAATGGCATGTGCATATGCAATAATGAAACATTTTAAAATGGATCTTAGGCTTGTAAGAGTCTCATGTCACTCTTTGATTCACAGATTGTTCAAGATTTGAAAAATAGCCATGTTGCTAAAACGTTCAGAATGGCCATCAACAGGAGAGAGGGAATCTGTGCCATTGGTGGAACGTCTGTTCAGTCCAGTGAAGGAACCCAACATTCTTATTCAGGTAAAAATCAAAAGAACTGTGGATGCTGTAAATCAGAAACTAAAGCAGAATATCCTGGAAAAGATCAGCACGTCTGGCAGTATCTCTGAAGAGAAATCAGAGTTAATGTTTCGGGTTCGGTGACCCTTCCTCGGTTCTCTTGATGATGGAAACTTGCATGAACTCTGAACGTTGAGTTACAGCCAAGGCAAATGCATAAGAACACGAAGTGGGGAATCCGTGATGCCAACTGTATATGGCGATGTTTCCCTAGTCTATTCCTGACTTCTCGCTCGTGAATAGAAAACGTCCGATTCCTCCACCATCTATTTTCATCTCGCCTAGTTAAACAAAGTGTCTCCATCCCCTGGAGGCTGTGGCTGACTGGTAATATCAC